GACAAGCAAGCAATTCAAGTCGTGGTATACTTATTTTTTTCAGGAGTGCCACTCGTGCTTTGGCGTGCACTAGGGTCACTTTGACTTCTTTTATTGACTTCTCAAATATACTGCACTTGCATAAGATCGCTGTGAAGCTCGGCAAACGTATGCAAACTAAAAGATTGTCCTGTTAATGAAAGTAGTCTGGGAATCCAGAGATAACATGGCATCTTTGGACCCACTCAAGAATTTTCTTTTAATATCTTCAGGTAGCTCTGCATCCCAGCTCAATAGTTTTCCCAAGCTCTTTTGCAAGTAAACTTTTGGAAAAAGTGTAAAAGGCATGGAACCTATTGGGTCAAAAACTCTCTGTACAATGATAGAACGTTTCGTCTTGTCACTGAGAGAACAATCAGTTGATATAGGGATGTCACAAAACAAGAATCTTCATATTTATCCCACAGAAGACCAATACTTTCATGGTTCGCTCATTGTAGATTTTCCACTGTTCAGTTTATTTGCTCCCACCCTCTTAAGTCAAAGTTAGCACTTGCCATAACTGAGTGGATTTGCAATAAATTATTCTGCTTCTTCATTCGAATTCAATGAAGTGACACAGTTGTTAAACATAGATGGAATTTTTTCATTTTGTAGCCACTTTCCTTCAAAGAAGGTTCACATTGGTCTAAATGAGAGTTGATCACTTCTCCTAAAAGAAAAGGACGCATTGTAGTCGAAGACTACTCTGCAATGCGAAATTTTCTTATTTCCTTTTGTTCCGAGTTTTTTCCACCATAGGATCTTAGGAATCACGATCAGAACAGATATTTTTGAAGAAAGCTCTTTTGATATCTGAGATAATCCTATTTTTCCTTGCCTAATTCAGAAGCAATCTAGGTATCATTCAATTAATTTTGACCTTTTGCTAACAGTCATTAATGACAGGAAATCTTTTTGCTTGCACGAAGCGACAAATACAGGCCTTACTGCTGTGTTACAGTTATCTTTGAAGACCGGTCTGTGGGGAAGATAATGATTGTTAACTCGTTCCCTTCTTTGATTCTTCTTCTATTACTTCAGATTCGAGCATCTTCGAACACTGCATTGTATTTTCAAATTTATCTTTCAACATGAGCTTCTTTGTCGTGGAAATCAATCGCTTTTCAGCAACTCTTATTACTTGGTAAAGCTTCTTTATCGTTGATCCAAGGTAAACTGACTTCACACGATCATCCATCCTCTTCAGAGTCTTGTGAAAGTGATCCCACACTGCTTCTTCTAACTCTGAGTCAGTTTTACTTTCTTTAGAATCTGTAATTCCCAGTGCTTCTAGCTTCCACAAGGATTTGTTTTTTTTTTCTTTTTCTTTTGTCACTGCTGTGAGTCAACATCGACGTTATTGTTGGTGACATGGACAAGGATTTTCTTTCTGAAACGTTATCGTTTATCTTTCCCATAATTGTTTATCCAAGTAGGGATTCCGCAGCAGTCAGCCGATTTTCTAATTTCTGAATTCTTCCCGTTAACAGAACACCTGCGACGTCAGCTCTAATAAGAACTTCTATTTTCAAATCCTTTTTTTCCTACATCAGATGCATGGGTATTTTTTTCTGCCTTAGTTCTTCTATCCATGGTCCAGGCTATAAACTGACTACTGGTCCACACATCTTCGACTGTTCCAACAAGATTAGTCGTCTAGAAAAATCACTCTTAGGCTTCCTAACGTTCACTTCATAGCGTTTGTAAATTTCCTCTTCGTTGTTACTCCTCCAAAAAGTGCATGAATTAAAGTTTCAGATCCCTTTGCTTGGCACCCTATCTCTCTTTAAGTCTCTTTTAATATGTATTCTCGTTGCGGTCCTGTATCGATAAGTGGCATTATTGTCTTCTGCTTTTTGTTTGCGTCGATATTAATTGGTAGTGTTTGAAGAAACACTTCATCTAGGAAATTGGTGCTCGCTAGTGATACATTTTGTGTTCCTCTTCTTTATTTTTTTTAACATCATTGCTGTTTCGATTGATGTGCAAATCCGGACTCATGATACCCCAATGTCTTTTCAAGCCTATCAAACATCGTGCATTTGTCTTGCATTGCTTGGCCCTGTGCCCAATTTGGGGACAGATGAAGCAACCCCTTCCTTTTCTTAATTTCATCATTTTTTTTGACTCAGAGTCATCTTCTGAGCAACAAAACAATCTCGACTTTCATGAATTTTTCTCTCCAAATATGCAAGAATTCTTTTCACTATAATTGGCTGCTTTATTATGGCCTGAGAATAAATCATTCGCTGTAAGGCACGAAAATGTTCACTCCTGGTACTTTTTATCGCTTCTACTTTCTCTCTTAGCATCCGAATCAATTAATTTAAATCCAGCTTTCGCCAAAGAAATCCTCTACTCTACTTCTATTTCATTCTTTTAAAACAATAGTAATTGTTTCAATTTCTCAGAGTGAGAATTTTCTAATGTAATTATTGATGCATAATTTCTAATCCAAACTCGTAAAATTTCCTCGGGAATGCAAGATTCCACGAGCGGAAACAAGCATTGCAGCGTATTTATCGCTTGTCATTCCTATTGACTCCAACGAACGCAAATACGATTCTAACTTGTCATACAATTCTGATATACTGTATTTTCCCTTTTGATCAGTGACGTTTTTAATAATCAAACCTAATAATTCCCGAATATAGAATTCTACCAACAATTCTTTCCTGCCAAACCTATTTTTTAAGCTTTCTATAACTTTTCATAATTTTCGGCAGTTGCAGGGATGCTGTTTACAATATCCGTGGTCCGTACCGGGTACGGTCGCTGAACGAGATAATGCTTCTTATCCTCGTTTTGAATTTCTTTATCTTCCTGTATTCGCCGAAATTGCCCCAAAACGGTAACCAATCTTTAATTTCGCCCCCGAATTCTTTTAACTCAATTTTAGGTAATTTCAATTTCCGTTTGTTCGAATTCGGCGGAACACTGCCTATGAATAGTGTCGTTTGGAGATTGAAGAATAATTCCGTTTCTACTCGTATTAAATCTAATTTTTCTTTGTATTCTTCAATTTTCGCCCATTCACTTTCAAACTGATCATTTGAAGAAAATTCCGAATTTAATATTTGAGTATCAAATGCATTAAGTTCAACAGATAAACGTTCTAAAGTAACAAGTTTCGTTTTTACAGATTTTGCGTCAGGAATTTCCTTTTCTAATTCTTGCAAAATTGCATTAATTGTTCTCGTAAAACACGCTCTGACAGGTTTTCGTTTCTTAATTAACGATTCCATTTCAATAAAAATAAATTCAATAAAGTCAAATAGAATTAAATTCGATAAAACCAACAAAATTACTTTGACTTGTTTTACCGATCACTTCCGTCGTCACCAAAATTGTTTGAGATTTGCAAGAATTAACCGTTCTCCTTTCTCCTAATAAACTTAAAATAAAATAACTTTACATATAAAATTCTATAGCGTCATATTTATTTTCAAAATCTATAGAACTGCAACAAACTACACCAAAGATCAGATGATTGCCACTCTGGCAGTGACAAACTACGAAAAGAAAATAACAAATGAGGCTGGGTTCTAACATTATGTTTACTAGATTTTTCAGGCTTCATGTTATTATGTAAAGCATAAAATGTTAAGTAATATTCTGAAACAAGATTCAGTGAACAAATTATGTTGAATGTGGGAAGGTTCTAGGGAATTTAGTTAATTTAGTTTAGCTAAAGAAATGTTTTAGAAATTTTAGAAAGTAAAGGAGAAAGTAAACACTATTTGGCAAACCAGCAACAATCAGCGATTACAGATTTATTAATTTCTCCAGGCGCTAACTGTTAACTGTGTAGTATAATACTACATAAAGCTTGAAGACCATCATCTTGACTGGGAAAAGATGCATGCTCAAACAAGAATGCTTTACAAGAAAGAAGATTTTCGTACTTTTCTTCTAATTCATCAATGTAAATAAAATATGGATAGCAGTAAAACGTTATAGCGGTTTTAGTTGTTCCTGATAACACTTAAAACTGTTGTAAATCAGCATTGTTTGGCTATATTAACAATGGTTGTTTACTTTCTTATAACCGAAATCACAGACGTTTCACATGCGGACTGCTAGTTGCCTTCAATGAGCCAGCCTGCGTTGCTATGAATGGGTTGGTGGGCTAACAATGGAAACCATATCGAGGCTAATATTTTGTAAGTTTTTCAGGTTGAAGAATAAAATGTGACTTTATCTGATTTAGTATAAAGTTATCAGTAAAAATTAAATCTATAATTAATTAATGATATCATTTTCTTTGTTATAAAAATAATTATAATCTATAATTTTAATTTTAATTTATACCGTAGTATCCTTAATTCGTGTGTAAAAGGAATATTTTATTAAAATTATCGTAATGATTTTCATTACTTCTAGCGTAATTTATGCCTATTTGTTGTCTTAAAATTGCACTTGTACTATAAATAGCTTAAGAAACATTAAGGAATAAGTTTGTACAACAGAGATGAAGGAAAAGTAGAAGTTGTCACCCAGTTCCATATAGCAAGATTGTTTGGAAAAGCATGTGGACAAACAGCAACTGTAGGAATGGCAATGAACGGTTTTGCCAAAACAGGAGTTTGGCCAGTGAACAGATATGTATTTCAAAACTCAAATTTTTTTTGCAGCAGTGCAGTTTAAGACAAATCATGTTCTTGTAGAAGTTCCTGACACAAACCTCTACTCAAAGTCACAGAATACTCTGGCATCAAGACATGCTACAGATGTCAGCAGTACGGGCATACGCAGGCAGACTGCAAAAGCCAAAAGCAATACTGTTCATTCTGCGCTGGAGAACATGGGGTTTGGGAATGCAATGCACATCAACCGCAGTGCATTAACTGCGGGGACGCAAACTCACGGTATGGATCAAGACATAATTTTACCCAACCAGCCTACTAACCCGACTGTCCAGCGAAGAGTGCAGACCATCAAACACAGTACAGAGTACTAGAAGCCTGCCAGCGCCTTTAATGCGCTCAACAGCAACCTCACGTCCCGACGAAAGTTTCCAAAAAATAAATACGGCTAATATAGCACAGAGCCCAATTGCATTCCTACAGATAAATTTACAGAGGGCACAAGCAGCGACAAATAGAGCAGTAGCATTTGCCATCGAGCACAGTATCGACTTCATTCTAGCACAAGAACCGTACACACGAAATGGCCAAGCAGTGGGATTCCCACTTAAATGGACGATATATCAGCAGCAAGAGAAGACGCAACCGCCCCGCGCTATCCTAGTATGTTGTCAACCTAACTGGACTCCTCTGATTAATGAGCAGCAAAGAGACTTAAGTGCAGTCCTTCTTCCTGCCAGCAATTTCTCCTTTCTACTCATGTCGCAATATGCTTCCCCAGCTGAGGATTTAGAAACCACGATTGAACTAGCACAGTCAGTTCTCCAACGTACCAAGCTGCCAAACGTCATCATAGCTGGAGATTACAACGCTCATCATACCAACTTGGGCTACAACAGTACCGACACCAGAGGAAGACAACTTGAGGATTTCTTATCAACACATAATCTCATTCTCCATAATTCCATAGATTCTCCACCAACCTTTGACAGAATTTTTGCTGTTGGCTGGCCGGATTTGACCCTCTCTACGGTGCCGATAGCACAGCATGTGCAGGACTGGAAGGTAGAAGAAGCTGATAGCTTATCAGACCACAAATTTATCACCTTCAAAATCAATAGCCTACCACAAATAGAAATTATTAAACGTTATAACATGCCATCAAATAAGAAGCGACAGTTCTCTCGGAAAATTGATCAAAGATTAAGCAATCTAACCCCAGTCCTAAAAAATGCCAATACACAAAGTGATATGGAATCGCTAACCGACGACATCATGAAAACCCTTCATGACACCTGCGAAGAGCTCTTACCAACAAGATCCAAAAAGAAATTAAACGCCACTAACTGGTGGAACACAGAGCTCACCATCCAACGGAAAAAAATGCCGTGCGCTCAGACGCAGATTAAAGCACGAACGGCGTAATGAAATCCAGAGCACTACCCTACCTATCTTTCAAAGAGAGCGAGCATTATATAAACGACTAATAATCAAGGCCAAGATCCATTCCTGGCAAAAATTTTGTACTGAAACGGAAGGAATTTACGGGCTGCACCACAAAATAGCCACTAACAAGCTCTTTAAACCCGTGCGTCTTCAATTCATACCATCAGAGCAATCACTAATTACGGAAGAATCCACCAAAAATACGCTAGAAAATATCCTGGACCATGTCTTTAGTCAAGATGACAATTCTGACGACTCGGAATATCATAAATCTCTACGCAGTAACAAATCTACTCCGTCTACTGCAGACGATCCAGACTTCACCATGCAGGAAGTTTTACAAGTCCTGAAACTCCTTCCCAATAACAAGGCACCGGGACCAGACGGGATAAGCTATCAAATCATCAAAACAGCAATAAGAGCATCTTTGCCACTTTTTATAGCCTTCTTTAATAAGCTGCTACAAACAGGTACGTTCCCAAAAGCATTCAAGGTCGGCCAGGTCGTATTATTCCTAAAAAAGGATCGCGACCCTTCAGATCCATCCTCGTACCGACCGATCTGCTTACTTTCGGCTCTCGGAAAAGTATATGAGAAGCTTCTAATGAATCGCTTACGACACCACTTAGAAAGAGGCCAATATCTACACCCCAAGCAATATGGATTTCGAACAGGGTCATCAACACTGCATGCACTCCACGATATACATTCAGCTATACACGATAATCGCAACCACGGCACGGCTATCATACTGCTCTAATCAGTATAGACCTGAAAAGTGCATTTGATATGCTGTGGTGGCCCTCAATTTTAGAAGCACTCAGAACAGTTCAATGTCCACGCAATATTTTCCTTACTTTTTGCGACATTACCTAACGGACCGTTGCCTTCTAATAGTGCACGACAGTGGGATTATCAAGCGTACCCAAACCAGAGGATGTCCACAGGGGTCCTGTGCAGGCCCCCATTTGTGGAACGCAACCTTCAACTCAGTCCTAAAATTCACACTGCCAACGCATTCCTCCATATTCGCATATGCAGACGATGTTGCTCTACTTGTCCGAGGACGTACTAGAGCAGAATTGGAGGCCAACTCAAACGAAGTTTGCAATCTATTCTACCAGCAATGCAACAGACAAAAACTCCAAGTAGCAGAGCACAAATGTCAAATTCTACTAATCGCAAAGAAGGGAGGATCACTGACTAGAAGACCGACAATCCGCATCAACAATCGTCGAATTAAAATTGTCCGTGTCCTGAGATACCTCGGTCTATACATAGATGAAAAACTGACATGGATGCCGCACATACTTAATTTAAGGAAGCGTACAGCAATCATAGCACAGCATTTCAGAATGCAACGCGGATTTCATTGGGGGATTAATTCTCACATACAAAAAGCGTTATATCTTACTGTCGTCGAGAAGATGGTGTCCTATGGAGCGGCCATTTGGGCCTTCCCTATGCAGGGAAGGAAAATCCGGCACCTGTCTGCACTACAGAGGCCCTTCCTACTCTCAATTACAAGAGCCTTCAGGACAACATCTACTGATGCACTAAACATCTTGGCAGGAGTGCTACCACTTCATCTACGCATAGAAGAAGAAGCGGTGACACAACAGGTTCATCAGTTAAGACTTTCACTTACTTATGATTACGTTACCTTCTCTCAAGAACAGTTTGAGAATAAGACCTCACAACTTCATATACACCCAGCAATCAAGGGTATTGGAATTCACCTCACGAAGAACCCAGCATATGTGGCACCATCCGGCTACATCTCCATCTACACAGATGGTTCTCGTATTGACGAAAAGGTAGGCAGCGCCTTTGTCGTGCTCAGTGAACAACAACAACCCCTTCACCAATGGCAGATGCAGCTCAGCACTGAAAACAGCGTTTTCCAGAGTGAAGCACTCGCCATTCACGAGGCCATACGCTATCTAACGAATAATAAAATCTCCAAAGCCTTAATACATACAGATAGCCTGTCTTCTATGCAAGCAATTGCCAATTCAGAACATACCTCCCCGCAAATAGCAGGCATTCAAAAAAGTCTACGTGAAAATGCTCACAATCATTACGTCATAAAATGGATTAAAGCGCACACAGGTATTTATGGCAATGAACTTGCAGACGGCCTGGCAAAAGACGCCGCCACTGGGAACAACATTACTACAGTACAGATCCCATGGCCTACCTCATATTTAAAAAAAGACCATACGACAAATTGTTTGCAATAAATGGCAGCAGGAGTGGACGAACAGCTTAACCGGCAGAAGAACTTTTTACTTCAAGCCAAAAGTAGATTTACAAAGACTTATCGCCAGTCCCCTCTTGGTACGTTACATATCCGGTCATGGCCCCTTCCCACAGTACTATCATCGACACGCTATCACCAGCACTGACGAATGCATCTGTGGCGAAGAGGGCACAGCAGACCATTACATCACTGCATGTCCCCTTACAGAGGACCACCATATTGCCATTCCTATAACGGATAGGCAGGCCTTCTGCAGGTTCCTCGTTAAGCATAAGCCAACAATACGCCAAATCACTGCCGTCATGTCAAAGCTAATGACACTTGGCACAGAATTGTGTCAAACTGCTTAATGTAACTTATGGTGTCAAGCAGCATAGTGACTACTACATAGGAATCACAAATTTATGCATGTACTATGCCTATTTTTCACATCAGACTATTTATATACAGACTGCAACCCAATCTGCAGATTACCTTTCCTTGTGCAATTAGTAATGTTACAATATTTCAACATAGTGACTTTTTCTGCATGTATATTACATGCAAAATATTATATAACCTGCATTATATAATGTGTGTAGTATGTGAAATGCAGGTTTGTAATATGCACTATGTAAAACTTGGCACAGAATTGTAAGAAACTGCTTATGATGTATCCTTCAATAGTAATTGTATAAAATATGTAATATGTACTGTATATGCACCATGTAAAATGTAATAATAATGTATAATTTACCTAACTCATCGTTCTAATAGTCGATTCTGTGTATGCAAGACTTTAAATAGTAATAATGTAGTGTTAACCTAAGTATCTAACTATGTGTAATAACTGTATAGAATAACAGCAATAAAGTACCTTAAGTATAATCATTTTCACAAGTACCTCAACATAAGTATTATTCAATTTCTCAGTAATTGTAAACTGTACTATTTAATGTGTAATATTACCATGCTAAATTGTAGTAATATGTACCATGCTAATATTGTAATATGTACCATGCTAATATACTAAGTAATTGTAATTGTAATATGTAATGTACCATGTGTAATTGTAATATGTACCATGTCTCAGTAATTGTGTGTAATATGTACCATGCTAACACTCTCAGTACTTAAACTTAAGCACTATGCAATCTCTCACTAAATGTTAATAATGTACTACTATGAAATGTGTGTAATATGTACCATGCAAGTATCAATTAATATTATTAACTATTAATGAACTTCTTAGTAAATGTAATCAGTCTTATGTAATGTATGTACTATCTATCATGCAAGTCTGTAAATAATAATGAATGCATAATGTTAACCTAAGTACCTAATTAAGTATGATTACGTAAATATGAACTCAACGGATGCAACGTACCTTAAACATAAGTTATATTCAATTTCCAGGTAAACGCAATATGTAGTATGTAATGTGTAAAATATATACCATGCAATATGAATGTTTATGTATCATACAAGCCTGGATTTGCAAGTCTGAACGTATTAAGTACTTTAAAGACAAGTATTCATCAATCACTCAATAAATGTAAACTGTACTATAATAAGCAAGTAATATGCACCATGCAAGTATTAATTAATATCATAAACTATTAATTAATTTCTTAGTAAATGTAATCAATATTATGTAATGTGTGTACTATGTACCATGCAAGTCTGTAAACAATAATGAATGCATAATTATGTTTAATTAATATTAAAATATTGAACCCTACGGATGCAACGTACCTTAAACATAAGTAAAAACAATTTCTCAGTAAAATGCAATATGTAGTATGTAACGTGTGAGAATATGTACCATGCAATATGAATGTATCTGCATCAAAGCAAGTTCGAATATGCAAGTTTGAATAGAGTATAGAACATATAATAGTCATGCAAGTCAGAATATGGTAATAGGTAAATGCAATTCTGCAAGTCTGAACATAACGAAATTAAGTACTATTAAATTTCTCAGTAATTGTAATCTGTACTATTTAATGTGTGCAACATGTACCATGTTAATATTATTGTAATATGTAACATGCTAATATTCTCAGCAATTGTATTTTTTTAACTGTAAATTGTAAATGTGTGTAATATGTACCATGCAAATATACCCCATGTCTCAGTAATTGTGTGTAATATGTACCATGTCAATATTCACAGTACTATTTAATGTGTATAATATGTACCATTCTAATTAATTAGTATGCTATTTAATTAATGTGTAATTAATTAGTATGCATATTTAATGTGTGTAATATGTACCAATGTGTGTAATATGTACTATGCAAACTGTAAATAATAATTAATGCGTAAAGCCAACCTATGTGTTAACCTAAGAACCCAACTATACATACTTATAGTAAGAATTGAATCAAACAGGTGTAAAGTACCTTAAACATAAATATTAAGTACCTAAACAAAAGTATTAATCAATCTGTCAGTAAATGTAAACTGCACTATGAAATGTGTATGATATGTACCATGCAAGTATTTAATTATATTAATTAATAATTAAATTCTTAGAAATGTAATCTATTATGTAATGCGTTGTACCGGTCTTCAGCATGTGCAAGAACCTGAATCGTGTCGACAGAACCATTTTCTGATGGGAAGGGCTGCCCATGGCGTCCGTTTAGAGATGCCATGACCCACGATACCCAACGTTTAGAATGGTGCCGGACTGGAGCGATGTGGATGACGATGTGGAAACGTCGTGTTCTCAGATGAGTCACGCTTCTGTTTATCCAGTGGCAGTCCCCGCATACGTGTGTGGCGTCAACGTGGAGACAGATCTAATCCGGCAGTAATTGTGGAACGCCCTACCGCGCGACAACGTGGCATAATGGTTTGGGGCACTATTGCCTACGATTCCAGGTCACCTCTAGTTCGTATTCAGGGCACTATGATGGCCCTATGATACTTGGATAATGTACTGCGGCCGATGGCAATCCCCTACTTTCAGGGGCTGACTAATGCAATTTTTCAGCAGGATAACGCCCGCCCACACAGTGCTCGCATCTGCCAACATGCTCTGCAAGGTATAGAGATGCTTCCCTGGCCACCGTACTCTCCTGACCTGTTACCAATCGAACATGTGTGGGATGTGATTGGACGCCGTTTGTAGACTATGCCCCTGCCTCGTTCAGAAGACGAACTGTGGCAAATGGTTGAAAGGGAATGGACAGCCATCCCTCAGGACATCATCCGCACTCTTATTGACTCTATGCCTAGACGTGTTTCTTCGTGCATTGCTGTTCCGCGGTGGTCCTACATCCTACTGAGCCGACGCCGTTCTCGCTCTGTATTCTATCATTTTGAAATAAAGTTCACTTATTGCTGCTTGCTGTCTCTGTCTTTTTTCCAAATTTCATCACTTTCTGACCACTCCATCTTGATGTTGCATTTTCAATGTCGAGCAGTGTATATTCTAAAGCATTCCCTTCTTTCACAAATTCATTTTCACGGAGGCCAAAATTTATCTCCTGTAAAAGTTTAAGTTTACGACACTTTAACACAAAGGTTAAACATGTCTACTTTAACATGAACATTTAGATATTTACACATCCCTTTTAAATACACTGTACATCAACAGTCATAGTTGCTTAGTTACAATTCACCATATTTACACGAAATCTTAATTTTAAGTTAACAGATTTCAGTATTCAAAGAGTCTTTCCGGCTAAACATATTCACAATTTAATTCTCGCAACTTGAGAGTTCTTAACAAAAAAATGTTTACTGCTAGTAGCTTCTCGCCAAATTCCGAACATAAAATTATTCGATTTGAAACTATTTACAATTAAGTTTTCGCTATTTTCGATTTAACTTTACTAAGAATCTTTAGCAACTTATAACAAGATGATATAAGTTGAACTTCAAAGAAAAATAAGCAAAGAAATTTTCACTTATGTTTTTCTGTACTCCTCCATTCTGATGTGGCAGAATTGTTCAAAACGTCAGAAACCTCATGACCTCCAACCTTCTTCTAGAACTTTGATGTTCCGTGTCGTTCGCTTCACTCCTTTTCCTCTTCTGCCTCTTGTCTAGGAATCTGGGATTCTTGCGGGATGACTGCAGGTTTTGGAACTTCAGTCTCCTATTGAGCTCTGGTGGGGACCCTCCGCCGTTCAGGGTCTTTGAACTTGCGCTTGGACTTTCCAACTTCTTGGTCAGGCACGGGTGTATCAGCTGGTCTTTTATCTCTTCTCGTCCTCAATCTGGACCTCCTTGGGCCTCCCTCGTAGTTCATCCAATGGAGCGGCGCTTGCGCCAGGGTGCCTGGGCCGAAGGCCCTACCACAGATCGAACACTTGTTTTCCTTTTAATGTTGTAGAAACAAGGTAAAAAATCATAGTAAGTCGAATAGTTGAAGGTGATTGACTATGGCATTACAGTACATAACAGTAAAGAATGATTTGATTAATGAGTGACCCGAAAATCGAATGGCGTCAAAGCAAAAGCATCTGGAGCTGGTGACATGAAGTACTGAAAGAGAAATAATTAGAAACATACAAGGAAGTACAATGATTTGGTTAATTGCTAAGGAAAATAATAATATGATGAAACCCGATTGAAGGTAAGAAATAAAAGGAGCCTTAAGCCAGCCGAGATGTAGAATGCATTATAAAGAGGTAATCATAATACATGAAAAGTACTCTGAATACAATAAACATATTTACGAAAATTTACTGAGCACAAAAAAGAAAATTACACACTTGTGTTCTGAACATTATCAGTGTTATTCATAAATATTTCCTCGAACAAGTTAAAAAGTAAGAATAGCTTGTCTATTGAATTCTCGCAGCTTGTATTTCAGGTAACTTGGAGGTAATTCTTTGAATTATTTTGGCCAGTGAAAGACCTCTGAATATGTTTTCTATTTCTTTAATAAGTTTGACAACTTCACCAAGAGAGCCTAAGCTAAGATTGTTGTCGAGATTTTTACTATTGTCAGAATTTTTTGGACTGACTGAAAGTTTACTATTT